ATGTTACTTTAAGTTCTGGGACACAGGTGCAGAACGTGCAGGTTTGTTGCCTAGGTATGCATGAACCATGGTGGTTTGCTGCACCTATCAACCCATCATCTAGGTCTTAAGCCCTGTATGCATTGGGTGTTTGTCCTAATGCTCTCCCTCTCCTTGCTCCCCACCCCCCAACAGGCCCTGGTGTGTGATGTTCCCCTCCCTGTGTCCATGTGCTCTCATCGATCAGCTCTCACTTATGAGTGAGAACATGCCGTGTTTGGTTTTCTGTTGCTGTGTTAGTTTGCTGAGAATGATGGCTTTCAGCTTCATCCATGTCCCTGCAAAGGATAGGAACTCACCCTTTTTATGACTGCATAGTATTCCATGGTGTATATATGCCACATTTTCTTTCTCCAGTCTATCATTGATGGGCATTTGTGTTGATTCCAAGTCTTTGCTATTGTAAATAGTGCTGCAATAAACATAAATGTGCATGTGTTTTCATAGTAGAATGATTTTTATAATCCTTTGGGTATATACCCAGTAATGGGATTGCTGGGTGAAATGGTATTTCTGGTTCTAAATCCTTGAGGAATTGCCACACTGTCTTCCACAACAGTTGAAGTAATTTACATTCCCACCAACAGTGTAAAAGCATTCCTATTTCTCCACACCCTCTCCAGCATCTGTTGTTTCCTGACTTTTTAATCATCGCCATTCTAACTGGTGTGAGATGGCATCTCACTGTGGTTTTGATTTGCGTTTCTCTAGTGACCAGTGATGATGAGCATTTTTTCAAATATTAGTTGGCTCTATAAATGTCTTCTTTTAAGAAGTGTCTGCTCGTATTCTTCACCCACTTTTTGATGGGGTTGTTTGCTTTTTTCTTGAAAATTTGTTTAAGTTCCTTGTAGATTCTGGATATTAGACCTTTTTCAGATGGGTAGATTGCAAAAATTTTCTCCCATTCTGTAGGTTGCCTATTCACTCTGATGATAGTCTCTTTCATGCTTGTGCAGAAGCTATTTAGTTTAATTAGATCCCATTTGTCAGTTTTGGCTTTAGTTGCAATTGCTTTTGGTATTTTAGTTATGAAGCCTTTGCCCGTGCCTATGTGCTGAATGGTACTGCCTACGTTTTCTTCTAGGGTTTTTATGGTTTTGAGTTTTACATTTAAGTCTTTAATCCATCTTGAGTTAATTTTTGTATAAGGTATAAGAAAGTGGTCCCGTTTCTGTTTTCTGCATATGATTAGCCAGTTTTCCCAGCACCATTTATTAAATAGGGAATCCTTTCCCCATTGCTTGTTTTTGTCAGGTTTGTTGAAGATCAGATGGTTGGAGATGTGTGGTGTTATTTCTGAGGCCTCTGTTCTGTTCCATTGGTCTATATATCTGTTTTGGTACCAGTACCATACTGTTTTGGTCACTGTGTTGGCTCTCTTTTAACACATGCTTCCACAATTGTAATTCTACATCTCCATTAGAATCTTCTCCAGTTCTTAACTTTTCAGTTTGTTTTGCTTACATGAAGCAAAAACATGTTTTTCTTTTCTTTTTTTTTTTTTTGAGACGGAGTCTCGCTGTGTCTCCCAGGCTGGAGTGCAGTGGTGCGATCTCGGCTCACTGCAAGCTCCGCCTCCCGGGTTCACGCCATTCTCCCGCCTCAGCCTCCGAGTAGCTGGGACTACAGGCGCCGCCACCACGCCCGGCTAAGTTTTTGTATTTTTAGTAGAGACGGGGTTTCACCGTGTTAGCCAGGATGGTCTCGATCTCCTGACCTTGTGATCCGCCCATCTCGGCCTCCCAAAGTGCTGGGATTACAGGCTTGAGCCACCGCGCCCGGCCAAAAACATGTTTTTCTTATAACCTGCCACACAGCTCTGGTCCTGATCTCACCCATTTATTCTTCTGAGTTTCCTGACCATCATTTCTTTTTATTTCTATTGCTGCCATCTTGATTTCACTTCTCCACTGTTCTGCACACTGTAGTACACATGACACAAAGAACACTGATTAAGACAGAAAAGACCTACTGAGTTCTAGTCCTGGCTTAGTGACTTGGTATCTATGCAATCTTAGCAAATCATGCACCTCTCTGAAATTGTTTATCAACCGAAAAATGGGCTAATACTATCTCTGCCTATTTCACTGGATTCTAGTGAGAATCAAATGAGGCAACGCATGTCCAAGTGTTTCCTAAAACACTATTTAATTTTTTCTTCCCAACTTTTATTTCAGGTTCAAGGGTTACGTGTGGAGTGAGAAAGAGGCATAGGTTGGGATTCCCTCTCCAGGCCTTGGGGCCGTACGAAATTCTTTCCTATTCTGCTCATTAACTTATGCAGCTAGTTCATTCCAGACCAGAGAGAGGAACAGACCTCCAGGCTGACACTCCCAGGGCTCCTCTTGGTTTTATTTTAGCAGAAGCCAAAGAGAAGTGGCAGCACCTTTGCAGCCTCCCTGTGACCTCTCCAGTTGAGTCCAATCTGGTCTGAGAGTTTGTTCTGCCAACTTGAGCACTCTAGTGAGAATCAGGAGACTTCGGGGATTTTCCACTGTGTTGAAAACACTTCAGTTTTGCTTAGCGCCAGCACTGCCAGGTCTCAAAGTCTGGAGCCATCTATAAACAAGTTCTAGCCAGATAACTGCCGCGAGCCCCCACTCCCCTTAAACTAACAAAAACACTCTTATCTCCCAGCCAAAAAAGAAAAAAATCCCCATCATCGTCCAAATGCACCAACTTCCTATTTTTCCTGGCTGGCTGCCCTTTCTTCTTCATTGCCTTCTCTTCGTTTCCCAGCAGCAGCCAACATTCCCTGCAACTTGATCAGCAGGGCAGGGCGGGTTCTACCTAGCAGTGTGCAGGACATAATGTGTGGGAGGAGATGCTGGAGGGGGCATAGCAGGACTCCCCCAGTTCTCCAAGAGCCAGAGGCATTTACAAGGCTGGCCTGGGGAAAGATCTCGTGGCCTACTCTAAATAAACACTTCAAATCCTGGATGGAGTCATTGCAAGTCACCTGTGTTCAGTGCTTCAGAGTTTACAAAGCTATTTCATACACATTACGTGGCCCCATGAGGTCGGATCTTATCTTCAATTCAAAGATGAGGAAACTGAAGCTCAGATAATTTAAATGGCTTTTCTAAGATTATCTAGAAGAGCCTGGAACTGAATTTCAGACCTCTGAGTAAACTCTGTGGGCTTGGCCTTACATTTGGCATCACAGAAAGGATAGATGGTTTTGAGAAGTCTCAGGAGACAGGTGTTAGTGAGCATATGCACACATACACACACACACACATACACCTCATGGTGCAAATTCCACTTTAAGAAACTCATACTGAATAAGACAAAGTACTTAACAAAGTTCTGACATCATACATTGCCTCACCTGGGGACAAGACCGCCCTAAGATCAACATCATTTTGTATCAATGAACCTGACAGCAGCTTATCACACTGAATGGCAATCATTTCTTTACAAACTGCTGCCAGGTTCATTTCCCCTAGGAAATTCAGAGCCCTCATCAGTCTGTGAATGACTCAGGAGACCGCACAGAGCCTACTGCACCACTGATCCTAAACACATTTTTTGTGTGTTTGTAAATTATGAGAATCATGAGGACAGATAAACTGCCACTTCAGTCACCTTGCTCAAATATTATGCTTATATCAATTATGCTCATGATTCCCCAAGTCAGGCCCAACAGGATGAGGGTGCATGGAGCAGGTGGGCCAGAGACACAGTGAGGTGCATTGGGAATAACAGGAGACCAGGGGAACTTGGCTAGGTGCGAAGCCGGTATTGAGACAGGTAGCTAAACAGGAGATGTCTTGGAGTGAACAGAGGAAAGCCCAAACTAAAAACTGCCAGAGCTGATGTGCAACGTGAAGCAGGCAGCAGTGTGACAGCACCTATCCTGGAAAAGGAGGCGCTAGGTGGTTGGCCCCAGTTCACTACATTCCCCTACATGCCCCTTCTGGGCAGCGGTAGTTCTATTTGCCTCTTTTTACTGTGCATCATCTTGAAGGTGCCCTGCTCCCTCTAGCCCACAGCTGCAAGAGCAAATCTGTATGCGCAATGCAGATAATTCCTTTAAGTTACCCTTTGTAGTGGGGACTGTCCTATCTCCTCATTGAAGTTGTAGTAGCAACAAGTCACTGGGGAAGAAAACAATTTTTAAAAAATCAATGGGGAGCAAAGTAGAATAGAAATCAGTTGCCCTACTGGGCAACTAGAAAGCTCACTGCTTTTTTCTTGGGCTCTGGGTTTTCATGGTGGTGGTGGTGGTGGTGGTTGTTACTTGTTTTGTCTTGTTCTTAATGTCTCTGTAGTTAAAAAGTCTTGGAGACACTTGAAATAAACACCTCAGAAAAAGGCTTCTTGTCAGATCCCAGGACCCAGCAGGGCACAACCTGTGAGAACAACCCCCTGAGCACTGAAGGGAGGCATCGTCTGGTCATCGTCTAGTAAGCAGGCATGCTGTTCGCCTGACACAGCCCAGGCACATGTTGGCAGTGGAGGACTTGTGAGGATGCTCATGTGAAACTCTCAGGGCATCCCAACCAGTAAGCAGAGCCTGGGGAGTTGGAGGCCCAAATCTGAGAAAGGCAAAAGAGGTCTTTCCTCAAGTTATGGGTCAGAGCCTCTTGAAGACAACAGGAATCTGGGCAGGTCACTAAAAGAGGGGTTCAGCAGTCCAAGGTCAAAGTTCAGTGACAAGAACAGAAAGTACCAGAGGGGGAAGGCACTTTCTCAACAAAGAAATCTCAATGCCCAGAATGCAGGGCTGAAGCTATTGAAGACCAACTATGTCCACCTAGATTGGACCAGGTCATTAGGAGTGGGTGATTCTTATCTGTGGGTAAGAATCAAGTGACACCCCCACCCCACCCACCAGCTACGGAAGAAGAAGGAATTACAGAGATTGGAACCCAGATAGGATCTGATCATTGAATGATCTCATAGTTAACCACTGAGCTAAAACTCATTGTAAAACAAGGTTAATTATGACTTACTTTTCTTTCCAGAATTAAATGTCTTCCATGTCAACACTCATGCCAGGATTATACAGACACTGGGACAGCCTCCTCCCACAACCAGCCTCCTTCCCTGAGGTCACCTAGGGGAAATGAAGGCATTGGTGAGAATACTTTCCATCACACCAGAAGAGATGAGAGTTTAAACACCATTAGACTGAGAAGAGAAACTCGGGGGGCTTTTAACTTCAGGACAACCAGGGAACCACGCTGTGGTAGAAATGGAACTTTAACTTCAAGCTTCCTGGCCTTGAATCCCAGTTCCGCACCTGACTTGTGAGTCAGCACTGACAACATAATGATTGCAGCCTGTTTTGGCCGAAGACTCCAAAACAGTAAGTGCCCATCACTCCCACATACCGAAGGGAAATACCAGACTGCCTATGCAGGATTTGAGAACTGAAGGTTCAGAGACAAAAGCACTTAGGAAAGAAAAGAAATTTACTTTCAAAAGAGCTCAAGGGAGTTAGACTTCAGACAGCTTGGCTTACAAATAAATAAATAAGTAAATACATACATACATACATACATACATACATACATACATACATAAGTCTATAATAGATATTTAAAGGGAAAATCCTTTAACTTTAGCAAGGTTAGCTAGTTTACATTAGCCTGTTCTGGTGGATTTTCTCATATGGTTATCACATCCTCAAAAGTCATAACATATGGTCAGCTGTCAGCATTACAAAAGCCAGGATAAAGGTTTTTGTTAGAGTCAGGTAAGAATCAAATAACACCCCCAACCCCATTAGGAAAGGAAGGAGTTACAGAGGCTGGAGACCTAGCTTTACTGGAGAGGCTAACGGCTTGCTTATTTCAGACACCAGAAGCAGAAATGGTGAGTTTATTATTTGTGGTTTATCTCCCAGTGCAACTTGGTTTTATTTTGTTTTCCTCCTTGGTTGTGAAAAATGATGTTCAGATTATTCATGTTATTCAATAAAAATTGCAGGAGGCCATTGTTTTGGACTAAGCTCTTGCACTAGGCCCCAACAGATCAGACTAAAAACCAAAATGGAGTCACCCATGCTAAAGTCCCACATCACCAAGCTGAAACCGAGTTGTCATCTGGCCTTCCAAGAAATCAAGAGAGAAGGATAACAGCCAAATTGCTGAGCCAAAGTGGACCACAGCAGTGTTGCTCCCACTGTAGGTCCTTGGCTGGGGAAAGGGAGATGCTTTATGATTGAAGTTTAGGGATTTTTCTGTTTTTTTAAAAAAATTAAATTACATAGCACTGTACATATTATTGATGTGAGACTATTCTGAGGATGAAAGTACCTGGGAACTTTTATTTTATTTTATTTTATTTTATTTTGAGACGGAGTCTCACTCTATTGCCCAGGCTGGAGTGCAGTGGTATGATCTTGGCTCATTGCTACCTCTGCCTCCCAGGTTCAAGCAATTCTTCTGTCTCAGCCTCTCAAGCAGCTGGGACTACAGGCACCGGTCACCATGCCCGGCTAATTTTTGTATTTTTAGTAGAGACGGGGTTTCACCATATTGGTCAGGCTGGTCTCGAACTCCTGACTTCAGGTGATCCACCCGCCTTGGCCTCCCAAAGTGCTGGGATTATAGGCATGAGCCACCGCGCCTGGCCAACTGGAGACTTTTATTATTATACACAGGAGAAGCTATGAGGTCTGCCTGAGATGAAGCCAGGGAAGAACCAGCCCCACAGCAGGAGTGAAGAGGCGGTGGTAAAATAAAGATTAACTTGCTGTAAGATTGTTCTTATGAGTCCTGCCCTTTCAAAGACCAGTTATAGGAGCATACTAGTTCTCTCTGTAGCTGCTGTAACAAATGACCCCAAATTTAGTGGCTTACAACAACAAAAATTTGTTACAGAGTTGCTGTCTCACCATTCTGGAGGTCAGAAGTCCGAAGTGGTTTTTACAGGCTGCAGTCAAGACGTGGGCAGGACTGCATTCCGCTTGGCTGCTGCGGGAAGCAATCCATTATCCTTGCCTGTTCCAGTTTCTGAAGGCCACTTGCATTCATTCCTTCCCCTCAGCATTTGTTGTCACCTTGTCTTCCTTTATCCAGCTGACCCCCCTGCCCCACTTCTATGAGAACCCTCGTGATTGCACTGGGCTCACCCCAATAATCCAGGATAATCTTCCCATCTCAACAGCCTTAATTTACCACATCTGCAAAACTCCTTTTGCCACATAAGGTAACCTATCTGTAGGTTCTAGAGATTAGGATGTGGATATCATTGGTGGGGGTTTGCAGGGGCGGATTATACAGGCTACCACAAGTGGATAGGTAAACCTGAAAAAAGTCACTTTGTTCCCTGAGCCTTCATTTGTTCCTCTGTAAAATGGGGATAATAATACCTACCTTACAACATTACAGGACTTAAAGGAAGTCTGATATGAAACACTTTCTATAGCATCTCAGTAATTTGCTTTGTAAGAATTCATTCTTTTCATCCATTCACTTGATACATTTATTGAATACCTACTATTTACTGAGTACCAGGCTAGTGTTCAGAGTGCTGAACGACATACTGCCAAAAAGAGGGAAGACAGTTGAGAGCAAGAACTTTGACTGCCCTAAAGGGGGAAGGAAGGAGTGAATGGCACAGTTGAAGACATGGTTTAGAAAAGTGAAGCAACCACCTGGTTGATTCCATCAAGTTCTGACAGTCCTTTATCTGAAAGGTGGAGGGACCTAGTTAAAATACTTTAATCATGTCTGCTTTTTTGCTTAAGAAACACTGGTCTGCTAATATGATGCAGAAATAAAAATGCACAATATTATCATGCCTCAGATAGTTTAGACTAATTCAGAGGGCTAAAGGAACTCAGGCAGACCAGTCGCTTCCATGGAAGCCATTTGGTATATAGAAGTATAGTACTAAGCCTGAGTTCTAGGTAGGTTCAGGTCTAAGGTGTGTATCAATCCTTCCTTGAGTCCTTTACATGGGTAGCTATTAGATGTTGAACTAGAAAATCAGCTACAACTTCACAGAGCTGACTCCTAAGGCAAAACATGAAAATAATTTTTTATTAGATTAAGAGATATGGAGAAGACAAGAGTTCCTGGGGGAAAGAGAAAGCTGCCAAAGAATTGCTAAAAAGATCACAAAAGCATTGCTGTTGGTAGAATGACAACCTTTCCTAACTAGAGGAGTCTCAAAAATCAATACTTGCTCTAATCAAAGAAGATACCTGACTTCTAAGGGGCAAGTATCATTCCACACACATTTTTTCCCCTCTGAGCCTTGCTTTTTTTCACTTGGCAATATAGATCGAATCTTTCTATTTAAAATAAAGAGCTAAGAAAGACTTTTTTTTTTTAACAAAGAAGAATTCTGAATAATATGTTGTGGGACAAGAGGAAGATGCCAGTGAAGAAAGCAAGAAAGCCAAATATGTGCATTAAAAGCCAGGATTATGGCCAGCCAGAGTGGCTCACACCTGTAACCCCAGTGCTTCGGGAAGCTGAGGCAAGAAGAGTGCTTGAGGCCAGGTGTGCAAGGCTGCAGTGAGCTATTACCACACCACTGCACTCTAGCCTGGGGGAGAAAGACCCTCTCTTTAAAAAGAAAAAAGTGAACAAAAAACTCCCCCACTTGATTATATAGACTGTAACAATATGAAAACGCGTGACATTGTACAAAGTCTGTGGTTGTAACTTTGAAAAGTAACTGAATATATATAAGGGCAAAATAATTACCCCCAGAGGTTCTTAGTTGAAAAGAACCCTTGTTGCAAAAGACAGATTAATAAGAGAAAAATAAACCAAAGTTTATGAGCATGTACATTTCATATATACATGGGAGACGCCCAGGAAATGAGAAGTTCTCAAAGAATGGCCTTCAAATTCAGCTTACATAGCATCTTCAACAAAGAACAATAAAATTTTAGAGAAGTGATAAGATAAGACAAAGGAAAGGACTTTGAGTCTCTACAGGCAGTAACTTGGAGGAAAGCAAATAGCTGGCAGATGTTAAAAAAAAAACTTAGACAAATTAAATTTCACAGAGTTTAATTGAGCGAAGAATGATTCGTGAATTGGGCAACCCTCAAACCAAAACAGGTTTCAGAGAGACTCTGGCCTGCCTCATGGTAGAAAAAGATTTATGGACAGAAAAAGGAAAGTAATGTACAGAAAACAGAAATGAGGTACAGAAATAGCTGAATTGGTTACTGCTTGGTGTTTGCTTTTTTTTTTTTTTTTTTAATACGGTTTGAACAGTTGGCTGTCTTTCATTGGCTGAAACTCAGTGATTGGCCTAAAAGTAGATTACATTCAGTTAGGTTCACAGACCCTGTTAGGTTATGGTTCACTGAGTATGGAGTTCAGCCTGTACGTTGAACTTAGAATATGTAAGGAGGCGGCATTAGGCTAGACTTAATTTAACACAGATAAAGGGTACCTAGCAAAGCTTGTTCATGTAGCTTCCTCTGGTACCATCTCCAGGCAGAGAAGCGAGACGCATCTAAAGCTGTCTGCAGTGGTTAACCTTCATTCTCCTTGGTAGAAGATGGGGCAGGACACCTTCTTCGGAAATCTATGTCCTGCTGTTAGGCAAATAGAGAGAGAGAAGAGAGTTTTCCTGCACCTGCTTCTTAATTGTCTTCAGCTCAATAATCCTTCACATCTGGGAGCAGCCTATTCTGGTCTCCCGCATAGACAAAGGTGGCAGAGAATGTGACAAGATTTTAACAGTTGTGAACAGGTGGTAGGATTGTGGCTTCTCCTTTTGGGTTTCTAACTGTCTGAAAAGTTAGCATAGTCTTCATACTAAAATAATTTCAGTAAGTTTGTCTGATAAAATGGTACAAATATAGGCATATTGTTTACATCTGGAGACCCTGAAGCTTCCAACTCCAATTCTAAAGCTTTTCTACTAGATACCATATCCACTACTGCTATCTTAATTCTTTAAAATTGTCCTAGGACTCCCTGTTGCTTTTATCAGATCTCCCCCTGGTGTCACCTTTAAAAACTTTTGTCATTCAGGTGAACCCAGCTCTTTAGGAACTATTTTTATTTTAATTAGTAGACATCTCCTTTCACTGTTTTTAGCATTTTGACAATTTATGAGGAAACCCTGGAACCCCTATTCAGTCACAAAACTCCACTTGGAAACAAGGCCACCCTATTAATATCGCTGTGCAACTATGTCATCAGAATTCTTTAAAACATTTGTAATTCAAAATATCCCATGAAGATACTATTGTATTTACAAAACACTAAAAGAAGTGGAATTGTGATAGGATTATCAAGGGAATTTAGCAAAATCCAATAGCAACAGCGCTCTTGTTTTTCTGGGTAAGCAGAAATACAGGTGGTTAAGAAATGTAGTTCAAGGAGCCTGTTATCAAGACCCGGTAAGCCTTTTCTGTCTATTTAATGTCCAGTCTTACATCAGTATTTACTCTTAGTATCAACAGTAAGTGGAAATGTAAATATCTTATCAGGAGACTAGGTTCTGCTCACAGTCTAGCAGACATTTTATTTATTTATTTTTATTTTTATTTATTTATTTTTTTGAGCTGGAGTCTCACTCTACAGCCCAGGTTGAAGTGCACTAGTGCAATCTTGGCTCACTGCAATCCCCGCCCCCGGGTTCAAGCAATTCCCTTGCCTCAGCTTCCCTAGTAGCTGGGATTACAAGCTCCTGCCACCATGCCCGGCTAATTTTTGTATTTTTAGGAGAGACGGGGTTTCACCATGTTGCCCAGGCTTGTCTTGTACTCCTGACCTCAGGTGATCCATCCACCTCGGCCTCCCAAAGTGCTAGGATTACAGGTGTGAGCTACCATGCCTGGCCCAGCAGATGTTTTATTGATGTCTTCCTTTAGCTTTCTCAACTTGGCTTCAGAGTCCCCTATTATTTGAAGCAAAAGAGAAAAAAAAAATGTGAAATAAATTTAAGATATCAGTGTTTTTGGCACATTTTCAGTGCATAACAACTTCTCCTGCAGCTAAAGAAATAAAGAATTATGACTCATTCTCTCAAATGGTTTTGGCTCTTGAGCTTCTAAAAAATATATCTTTAAATATGTTATTTCATCCATTCTCACAAGCACGTTTGGGGCATTGTTATTGTCCTGTTTTAAAGATAAGTATACTGAGGCTTAGAGAGTTAAGTGTCTTTCCGGTGTAGAGCCCGGGGCCCCTCAGATCCTAGCTAGGACTCTTTCCATGTTGCCACACCAGGCATAGACAGGTGTCATCACTGTAATAACATGGAGGCTCCAAAGAGTAAAGAGCTATGCAGGTGTGAATCTCAGCTGTTTCTTCAGATTCTCCACTGGAACTTTCATATAGGCTCTTTCTACCTTCCTAGGACATAACTACTTCAAAAGTGAACTGTGATCTTGCAAGAGCTTTGGTGTCTCTCTGGACTTTATGCCTTTGAATTGAACCAACCCACCTGACTAATTCCCCTCTCCTTTTCTACCCTCACCCTGATTTTGTTCTGGCCTCAGGGTCCCCTTTGGATCTACATCCCTTCTCAGATTCCTTCTGCCTCTAGCACTTGGGTGCCCATAGCTCTTCCTGACATCCTCCTGCTGCTCAGGACCTCCTGCCTGTGACCTCCACAGAGCTTCAGAGTGGAGGCCAGGACCACGCCCTTTGGCCTTCCTAGGTACAAATGAAGAGTCTCTACTTCTCTCCCATTATCTCTGAATCATGCCAAGCCAAAGTCCAGCCCTCCCCCACAATGACAACCATGGACAACCAAGAAGGAGATCCGGGCCTGGTCCTATGCATCCTGAGTACTGGTGGGACTCAGGAGTTCAAGAGGCAGATTCAGGTGAAGACAGGGGTTCCTTGAGCATAAGGTTTCTAGGAACAGAGGACATGGAGTATTTGGTGAGCAAAACCTAAAGTGTGCATATGCGTGACTATAAATGTTGGTGGCCTGAGAGGTGGTGCAAAGCCCAGAGTCCAGCTCTACCTTTAGGTCCATCTTCCACAGAAATCCAAACCCATGGGAGTCTGAGGCAGGGAATAGCAAGAACATCTCTACAATGCTCCTCATGCTTCCTGACTTGACCATGACCCCTGATCCCATACATCTTCCCTCCCCAGTGAGACCCCCTAGATCGTGCTTCCAGCTCCATGATTCTTCTCTTGTCATTTTCCTTGCTGGAAAATGCATGGGAAATGCATTTACATTCTAATGCATCATGACACACAAAAGCAGGATCACATTTCACAACAAAACCAGAACTTATTTTGATTCTCACATGCAGGGAACCAGGATAATAACTTTTTTTCATACATCAAACTACCTAGAAAGGGACTTTTTATCTTTTTTGGAAAACTGAGGGAACCAAGACCCATCAATGCATAACATGTATTTATTGAGCATCAACAAAAGGTCAGGTGGTGTGCTTGATGGGCAGAAGCATGCAGCATGGGCCTGCCTTTCAGTCTAGTTGTAGTGATAGGATACAGAGGCATGTGGGACCCTTATCACACTGTTACATTGCAATTCAAGGCAGCAGACGCTTGTATGGACCCTCCAACCCAGTCTGCTTCCTGGTCAACGCATCCAGAATCTGCCCCAGCAGTGTTGCCCTTTTCCCAGTTCTCAGGCCCCTCTTGATCTGATGCAAAAGTATTTAACAAACCAGCCATACATAGTGAGGCTCAGCATCTAGTCTGCTTAGCAGTGAGGTTAGTCCAAGGTCTGATAACTGGATTTCTACTGATGGCTAGGGCCTATTCCTTGCGTATTGTCCATCCCACTCTGAGGTCTAGACGTTTTCCCCACCCCCAGTCTCTTATTCATACCATGTACATGTCCTCCTGAACTTCTGAGTGTCCCTCAACCCAGATCCCAAGTTGATAATCTCTGCCTACACCTGCATGATCCATCTTATGGTGCTTGTGGAAAACCAAGGGCAATCAAAATCATAAGGTACAACAGCCATTGAGAGCCAAGGGTCTCCTAGTGTCACCCATGTGAGCATCATGAACCTGCTTGAAGTATCACCTGCAGCAGCTGCAAGTCACTGCCCTCAAAGTCGTAACACCCCACTGAGAACAAAGCTGGATGCTGGCTAGGTTTTCACCTCGGCCACCTGCTTCTCCAGAAATTGCCAACTCAGACCAAAGTTCAACCTGGTCATGATTCTGACAAGCAGTTGCATTTCTTATTAAATTAACTGTGACCTTTATAGCTGCCAGAGAAAACCAATTTACAAAGATTTTTAGAGACCAGATGTTTAAGATTTTGTTTTGTTACTCATGTTATTTTTGAAATCACGTGATTTTAAGCACTTGATTTTAGATATCATAAAACCTTTCTGTCTGGTGAGATTCCTGGGTAAAGTGTGTGTGTGTCTGTGTGTGTGTGTGTGCATGTGTGTGGGGAGGGTGGTCTCAGGTCACTCAGTAATTCCATATTTAAATATAGTGAATTTAGAATTTAAACTCAGTGAGTTCAAGAGTTTCCACCTCTATCTACTTTCACTCTTCTTTCCAATGAGGAGATGCTGGACCAAGACCCATTGCCTGGGGTGACTGGCTCTGCTGAGCAGTGGCTTAGTGGCCTTCATCTGGTCCCTGTGCCTATGAACTGGCCTCATTGTTGATGCTCATATCCTGCCATGGCCTCTGGTCACTGGGCCCCCATCTGCTTCTTCCTGGTTCTGATGCCAAGCTTTTCTGGATGGGCCAGCTCATTCTCAGTCCCCTCTGAGCCACTTTCAGGGTGCCGTGGAGGAATTCTCAGGCAATTTCTCATGCCTCTTGGAGCATGTTACACATAGTTGCCTCCCCTAAGTCCACAGGCTGGCACTCCTTCTTCAGCCATTGTGATCTTTCCACGTAGGCCCCAAGAGGGGGCATTCATCTATTCACACGTTGTTTAATTACCGATGTAGTCAGAAATCCAGAAAGAAAGGATATGCAGATAACATAGATATAAACATAGGTCTACTTGCCTCCTTAAACAATTTACTGGAAATAATATGATTATACATTTTTTACTTTGGAAATATTTATTGAGCCCTACTGTGTGCCAAGTACTGTTCTAGAGACTGGGGATACAGTAAAAAGCAAGACAAGACAAGAATCCTGCGCTCATGAGAATTAGATTGCAATGCATTGAGACACACAGAAAACAGGAACTCATTTCACAATGAAAACTAAGCTTATTTTGATTCTCACTCCAACAACCCATGAAATATTAAATTTCCCCCCAAACAGGAAAGGCTTGCAAGCTGTGTAAGTTCTAAGCCAATTCTCACGATATTAAGAGTTACACATTCCCAGGACTGTGCTATGGGTTGCTTTCAGAGTTTTGAAAAGCACAGAAATGACCTCTTTTAAGCCAATATGAATAGTTATCCATTATTTGATTTTAGATATCACAAAAGCTTTCTGTCTGGCGGGATTCCTGTGTGTGTATATATGTTTTGGGTCTAAGGTAACTTGGTAATTCCATATTGAAACATACTGAATTCAGAATTTAATCTCAGTTTAAGAATTTCCACCTCTATCTACTTTCACTCCTCTTTCCAATGAAGAGGTGCCTGGACCAAGCCATTACCAGGCACCAGGCCAAGGTCTTTGCAGATATTATCTCTGATTCCTATTGCAACTCTAAGTAAGGTGAGTTTCATTATTATCAGCCCTACTCTGCAAATGGGAAAACTGAGGCTGATTGAATTTAAGTAAGTTGCCTGAAGTCACCCTGGTATGAAGTGGATGAGTCTTAACGGAACACAGATGGCCTGATTTCACTCTGCCTTCCCACAAATAGTAGGCAAATCCATTAAAAATTATAAGTAGAAATGTTTGGAGTGTTCCTTCAAACAAAAACTTTACCCTTTATATTTAAGAGTGTATATGTGTGAGCTGAAAGAATGAGGCTTGGGGAGGACAGGATGAAATAGACAAAGTTAGAGAACACTAAAGTTTGTGAAAACACTCACAATTGAGGACCAATGAAAATGATAAAGCATGTCAGAAAGCATAAAGTTAGGAAGAGGTAAAAACATAACCCATTTTGCAAATGTTTGGTTCCAGCTAAGCCTTTGGGAACAGATCTTGAGGAGGCAGGGAGGAGATAGGAAGGCAGGCCCAGGGTGATTGTGCTGTGGACACTCATCCAACACCAGCCTTACCCCATTCCTCCTCTTCACTGTGTGCCTTCTTCCCTTGTTCCCTATGGCTCAACATTGAATGTGTCTTCCACAGTCCCCATTTAGCCAGGACTGCAACCTCTTTTCTTGGATCCTCAATCTTGGTCCCGGACCCAGTCTCTAGGGACTTGCACGTTACCCCCGGACCATTCCATCTGTCCAGGCTTCACCACCTAAGCATTAGGCCCACACCTCTGGGTTTATCTCTATGAAAATCATATTATCCACCTGAACCATCTTCCCTCATGGAGCCCTTGAAGTGTGCAAAAGGAAAGCCACCTGCGAGCCGGACTTCATCAGGGAAGATCCCAGGGAACCAGGAGAGAGAAAGCAGATGGTAAGAACAGCAGGGTCTGCCCCGTCCGTAAGGGGGCCCTTGAAAGCTAGATCTAATCAGAGTTTCATCTTTGCATCTGCCTCTGTTGGGCATCTTTCACTTTGTCCTGCTTTTTAGACATGTCTTTCTCTTTCATAAGATTATAAGTGTCTTGAAGAACTTACACAGTAAGTGCTCCCTAAACCTTCTCTAATGCTCCATAATAGTCTCTCCTCTTGAGAAGAGGAAGCACCCCAGAGTGGCCTGTTTTACAAGGAAAACACAGTCTGGACAAACAGCTGCAGAATATCAGTAGACCTCCCTCCTGTCCTCCAACCAGCCTCACCAGATCCTTTCCCTTTCTGGATTTCTGTTCATTGGAACATAAGCGGTATCATGACCCTGACCACATAATGGTGAGTGGAAACACAAAGAACAGAACTGATTAGGCTGTTGGAGTTTCCTGTCACATGATCTGTATGGAAACAAAGCCACATCAGATGTTCCATTCACAGCTCTTCAATTTTCCTCTGCTTTTATCTCAAGTTAGTTGCCTTACAAGTTATTTGTATTTGTTCCCTTTCTCAGGGAAAATGTACTTACTATTTTATTTTTTAGCAGCATCCTTATAATATCCATCTTTGGAGAAAATTTCTGGGACACAGGCAGATGTATTTGATTCCTGGTATAGTTATAGCACTAATACCTCATAGTAAACTGCATTAGGACATTTTCTCTAAGCCTTGATTTATGCAGAATTTACATTTTCAGGCTAATGCCTGGGAAAAAATTGTGAGATGAGTGAAGTTTGTTTTTAATATCCGTCCTACTCCACCATCCCACTGTTCCTCAAACCCCACCTCCACCCGTCTCTGCCTGCAGCAGGCACCTCAGCTCTCATGCCCGGAGTCTTCTACAGGGAAGAAAAAGTGTTAAGAACTTGATCTCTGCAGCCAGCCTGCCTGGGTTCAAATCCAAGTTCTAACCCCTCACTAATTGTTTTTTTGTTTTTTTGTGGGTTTTTTTGTTTGTTTGTTTTTGTTTTTTTTTTGAGATGGAGTCTTGCTCTGTCACGCAGGCTGGAGTGCAGTGGCGCGATCTCAGCTCACTGCAAGCTCCGCCTCCCGGGTTCACGCCATTCTCCTGCCTCAGTCTCCTGAGTAGCTGGGACTACAGGCGCCCGCCACAACGCCCAGCTAATTTTTTGTATTTCTAGTAGAGACGGGGTTTCACTGTGTTAGCCAGGATGGTCTCGATCTCCTGACCTCGTGATCCGCCCACCTCAGCCTCCCAAAGTGCTGGGATTGCAGGCGTGAGCCACCGCGCCCGGCCACCCCTCACTAATTGCTGAATGGTCTCAGCAACACTAGACCTTTCTGTCGCTTACGTTATTCATCTGCAAAGTAGGAATAGTAATAGGCTACCATGAGGATCAAATGTCTTAATAGATGTAAAACACTTAGAACAATGCCTTGCACTTAGAATGCACTGATTAATAATGTTACGCTCTTATCCCTCCTGTTCTCATCCCTGATTCCAATGATACTGTTTGACAGTTGCTCTGAGACACTGGGGCATGGACCTGTTCTCGCAGCCAGCCCCTCCTCTTTTCGCTTCCCTGTCCACTCTCACCAACCACTCCTTTGCCAATGACCTTGAGTCCCTTGCCCTCTTGCCTGTCTTTGCTCCCATGCAGCTGTGGATATGGGCTGCACCCATCAGCTGCAACTTGGCCTCACTTCCCTTGCTTACTGGGAAGCCTGCAGCCTATCCCAAAAGGTACCTACCGCAGAAGGCCTTCAGCCCCAGGTGGTTCTGACGGGCCTCAGTATAGGCTTCCCACCTGGCAGAGGGAGTAACATAAGTTGTAAGCCTGATCCTGCAAAGCCACTAGTGGTTCTGCTCTGGAGCCAAGAGACACCCCAGCACTGTCCTTTTTCTCTCTTCCAGAGGACCTCAATTCCAGAGGCAAATCGTTGGCCTTTGTCACATGGTACAGAGTCCAAGACCTCCTTGCCAAGATCCTGGGGAGAAATTAGCTCACACCACTGTATGAGTTCCCCCATTACGAATTCTTCTCTCCTTGCTTTGAGGAGGGGCACAGCCCAGGACATCTCAAAGGGCTGAAGGTCCCTTACCTGTTAATCACGCCCTTCCATAGAGTAGAATCTGCCCCTCACCTGGCTCCTAGGCTCTCTCCAGCAACAACCTCTCCTTTCCCAGCATTGCTCCACAACCATCCGCCGGCACTCAGCGGCCCAACGTACTGATGCAAAGACCTGGGGCTCACACAGAGGCCCTCTCCTCACATTCTGTTCTCCCAGAGGTAGGAACATTCACATAATTGAGACTTGCAATCCCTGGCACAGGCCATCACTCCAGGGCCAGGGCATTGAGAGGATGTGCTGAATTAGCCTCGGGACCTCATATAAGGTAGAGATCAGGCAAGGCAAATTCAGAATGATCTGATTCAGAGAATGGGGTCAACACTGGGATGGGGTCAGGAGCCAGGACACAATCCCCCTCAGGCAAAGTCAGCCAGAAAACCCTGGTTTCTAGACATCCAGCTAAGAATGGGGCCCCACTCAGATTCTGAATTCTCCAGATGTCCCTTCTGGTATCATGGAAACAACTTGACCAGGTGTTTGATATATGTTGAAAGGCTTGGAATAGGCCAGAATTTTACATAATAATTTGTATAATTCTTAGAAGAACTCCCCAAAATAGATGATATTACATCCCGATTCCAAAATGAGGAAACAGAGGCACAGAGAAAAAAGTAAACCCCTGAAGGTCACATGGCTCATAAGTAAAGAAAAAACAGTTGGATTTCAAAATCCATGCTCTTATCCACTACCTTGTACAACCTGGGTTACATGAGCAGCTCTGCAATTGCTTAGCTTGAAAATCTAGGCTTATTTCTGAGTTTTGGTTTTCTCTTTGTACTTCCCTCCCAGGTAGAAGATTATGATAAATAAATAAATAAATGGGTGCATATAAAATCCTCACCATGATACCTTAACAGTAAACATGCAATAAATGTTAGTTATCAACCCCAACATCATATCATTACTATTACTAGTGCCCAATACACACAGATGGATTCTTGTCAGAGTTCGCCTGCCTCACCCTTTCCTTTGCCTGTTTCCCTGCACTAGCGTAGACCCCTGACAGCTCCTAGTTACTCCCAGGCTGCCTCCACCGAGTTTCCAGTCTTTATTAAAGACAGGCCTCTTTTGATTGTAAAATAATCCTATGATGTAAATAGAGCTAAGATTTAGCAAGATTAAGCGCCTTGCCCAAGGATAATTCTTTCCGATTCTAAAACAATCTCTATAAAATCAAGTACAGTGTTTTGATTGTTTTTTTCAATTGGAAACTCAGCTTTGAAAACAAAATTATGAATAAAGAAAAGCATTGCCGTGGGTCCCACCATCCTACCACAGTACTCGTAGTCATGTTTCTGTATTTCTCACCAGGCTTTGCCCACCTCTGAAGAGGCTGACTTCTCTTCTGCGGATTCACTGCCTGCAGGAGACAGCTGATAGCACAGTTCACTCGAGCGAGGGCTGGCCCCAAAATCCCACCGACAGATTCTAGAGTGATGATGAGAGAAATCCAGAATGATTCTAATTTAACCTGAGCAGAAAAATGTAACTAAACTAGAATAGATAGTAAGTGGAAATAAGCATCCCTTTGGAAGCAATCAGAGTCTCTTTGTGCCATTATTTCCTCCTAAATTACACTATGTCTAATTCTCTCCTATGAGCTGTTAAAATTATGCAGGCATATAATCTAGTCATATATTTATTAATTATTCAGTAAGCCAAAACCAAAGGCAAAATACGAACTTTAATCCTGTCCTTCTCCTTTTTCCCCCATATCATTGACCACATCAAGTCTGGGTTTTCAAATTTGTCTTTTTTTTTTTTAGTTAGGAGATTTTTGGAAATAAGGACTTCCTATAAAAAATTTTACATAGAGTAGTAGAAATTTGTGACCATCTACTGTCAGTGTAGGGACTGACACCCTTTGAACATCTTATGGAATATGGGTTAAGGTAGAAGAAAAATGGGGAAGGGAGTTAGAGATGATAGAACTCTAGGTTGGCCTGAGTGTCCTCTCACTTCTAGCCGACTACCTGAAGCTAGCTCCAGGTGATCTTTCTCCATTTTGTCCATTTTTTATTTGATGACCAATTGCCCAACACTGATGCATTTCATCTATATTCATGGCAGGCCTACCTCCTACACATACAGCTTGGTTAGAGGGTATTAGCAGGAATACATAAAGAGGTGTAAGAAATGCACCCTGATTCAAGGAGCTTACAGTTCAACTGGGACCAGAAGAACCAGAAGACGTGGGATTGATTCTCAGCTCCTTCACTCACTACCTGGGTTAGCATGAGCAGTTTATTAAAGTTCATTTTCTGTAAAACAGAGCAAACAATAATAATAGTGTCTATACCTGACAAAGGGTTACTGCTGGGATCAAAAGGTGTACATTTTGTGGAAGCACTTTACACATAGGAAGTGATATTCAGAAAATTATTATTAATATGTACAGAAGGTGTATATACAAGTCAAAACAGCACCTCTCAGGCTGTTATCATTTTACAAGTTTGGATCTTCTAAGATGATCCTTTCAGAGACATGTTTCCTGCAAGATGTGATGCATGCAATTCAGGTAAGCTACCATCAAGTACACTGTCTTACCTGAAAAAGTAGTTGACATTTTGACACGGTTTGCAGGCCAACCAAATGATCTGCGTCAAAATTAATGCACCAGGCAGGAAGAATGGCAGCCTGGTCCGAGCAGCAGAAAGTGACTAACTTCGCCAAATATTTATTGAGTGACTTCTATGCATCATGCACTGCGCTAGGAATAAGAAGACAAAAGGCATGATCCCTGCCCTTAAGGAACTTACAGTCTACTAAGGCAGACTAACAATTATAATAGGACAGTTGTACAATAGGATTATATACAGTCTGATGGGCCCAAAGGGGAAGAATCCCTACCTGGGAGACTTGGGGTGGGAGGGACCTTTCCAGGGAGGGTGCTGTTTGAGCTGGAACCTGCAGAATGAGCAGGAGTTTTGAGGCAGATTAATAGTGGACTGACACTCCCAGAAGAAGCTTCACAAACTCCAAGCTTTTCTACTGTGTTTTCCTCTAGATGAGCCTTTTACAATAAGGAGAAGACTTCTTATATGAGTACCTCTACTCTTAGCTATCTGCTCTGTGTATAACATTTTTATATCAAATACGTTTGTTGATTAGCTTTTTCTTTTATCAGTTCTACAAGTTTAATGGCTTGTGTGTAAATACAGTTTCAACAATGTTTCGTCTTATGATCATGATGAAAAATTCACACAGCACAAATTTGATCAGGATACAGTAAAGAGATACATTCATGGCACAGGAAGTGGACCTTCTCCTTGCTGCAGAGGAATACTGGAGACAGGGGATCCCAGAGGATAAGGCTGGAGGAGTTGGACTGGAGAGAGACTAGAATGGATCTTAAATTTTAATGCTAAGAATTCTGGGTGATGTCAGATATAGAAGGATTTTGTTTGCAATAAAAGTAGAGTGTTAGGAAATTAAATCTGATGGTAGTACAGTTTAAACTCATTTTTCAAAGGATAGATTATAGATAGAAAAGGATAATGAGAAAAATGTTATGGTAAAATGTTAATATTTGGAAATAGGTGAAGGGTATATGGGAGTTCTAGTAACAGTTTTAGCAACTGTTCTGTAAACCTGAATTACTTAAAAATAGTAATAATAATTAAAAAAACACACGATGATGTTGAAGAAGGAAACCCAGAGCAGCACAAGTAAAGGAGGAAGATGCGGTGGCTCTGAGCCAGGCAGCTAGGAGGAGGAGTGGAACACTGTCTGAACGTTTCTGACATATGAGGCACCACCTCCTGACAGACAGAGACAAGGGATATCCATTCTTTTGTAAATCAGAAACTGGTCACCAATCTGCAAAATACATCCTGTTCTGTTGCCAGATAAAATAAAATATGGATTTTTCCCTGTTAGGGTAAATACTAGTGTCCAGTCACATAAGGAGATTTTGACAAAGCCTTGATATTCCCAAATGATGAAACCTCCTAGTGATGGCTGGATTTTAGAGGCACACATCAGCTGAACTGTTATTTCTCTCTCTGGAATACGGCAGATGGACTCTGAAGTGTAAAACCAGTAGAATGGAAAGATGTAATTTTTTGTGTTTTTGTCATTTAGTGCACTCATCCAGACATGTTCCCAGTAGACTACCCTAGTACAGGCTGAAGAGAGATGTGCATAAAGCCATGCGGCAAAATTATAATCATTTTCATGAGCTAGAGAGGAGGTGTTCAAATTACATATGAAAATGAAAAACTGTTTACCTATTACTATGATTTTGCTCTGAATAAACGCAACAATCTCATTTAACCCTTCTCATCTTCACACTCAATATTTTAGAAAAGACAAAACCTTAGTTCAAAGAAATTAAACATTTCAAAGGCCATGCAGAGTATAGATTTGTCTTTCTGGTCTTTCTTTTCTTTCTCTTCTCTTCTCTCTCCTTTTCTGGCCCTTCCCCTTCCCCTTCCCTCTCCTTTTTTGTATGCAGGAGGTTTATTGGGTGTTGCTCTTGGGATCAATACCTGTGGGGAAGTGAAAGAAGTAGGATTGCTCAGAGAACAAGTTTCAGAGGGGATCTGAGCTATGAGCTGTCAATAGCCAAACCTCTCAGTAGCTACAGGAGTGAGTACTTCAGTCCTGGGAGGGGAGTGAGTAGATGTGGGAGACATACCATAATATCCACTACAGATTTAAATATTTTTCCCATAAATATTTCTATATGTATATCTAAAGGACAAACACATTCTTTAAAAACATATTTCTAATGCCATTACCATACCCAAATTTAGTTATCAATAATTCATTAATATCCAATCCGTATTCAGCATTCGAGTTTCCAATTGTCTGATAAATATAACTATATATTTATTTTATTTATTTATTTATTTTTTTGAGACGGAGTCTCACTCTGTCACCCAGGCTGGAGTACAGTGGCTCGATCTCGGCTCACTGCAAGCTCCACCTCCCGGGTGCACACCATTCTCCTGCCTCAGCCTCCTGAGTAGCTGGGGACGACAGGCGCCCGCCACTACTCCCTAATTTTTTGTATTTTTAGTAGAGACGGGGTTTCACTGTGTTAGCCAGGATGGTCTCGATCTCCCGACCTCAAGATCCGCCCGCCTCGGTCTCCCAAAGTGCTGGAATTACAAGCGTGAGCCACCACGCCCAGCCAAATATAACTATATATTATTTATTTATTTATTTATTTATTTATAGTTTGCTTGATTTGGGGTTCAAATAAGGCCCATAAATTACAATCAATTAATATATCTTTTTGTTTATCTTTAAAATGACACATGATAATTGTACATATTTATGGGATACCTAGTGATGTTTTGATACATAAAATGTACAGTGATTATATCAGGCTAATTAGCATAGCCATTCATCTTAAACATTTACCTAATAAGCAACCTCAACTCTTCTTTCTTACTTCCTAAAAGGAAGAAGCATTTGTCTCATCAGGAGCTGACCTACACACTCAGCTACTCAGATGGGCTCAATAGTTCTAAAGCTAAAATCTTTCCTCTTGCAGGAATCGGTTCAGGATTGGGATTGCAACCCAAGCTGGGTCATTAAAATACATATAGACATTCTTCCTTAGTCTTATGGGTATGCTTTTAAAAGCAAGGCCTTCTCATCAGCCTGGACCTCATGAGAAATTATGGAGTAGTTCCTGGTGGTTACTGGCCAACATCCTAGGCCTCTAAGTGTGGCCTGCCTCAGGATAGAATGATTCTGTCTCACAAGGAATGCTGAAGGGATTTCATCACACTGAAGGAAAAGGATGCTAACATGTAACAAGAAAACATCTGAAGCTACAAAACTCACTGACAAAAGTAAGCATACAGACAAATTCAGAATACTCTCATACCATAATCACGGTATATAAACCAATTATATTAAGTATCTTTTCTGACAATGGAATAAAACTAGAAATCAACAGAAGGAACTTTGAAAACTGGACAAATACATGAAAATTAAACAACATGCTCCTGAATGACTAATGGATCAATGAAGAAATTAAAAAGAAAATTTTAAAAATTATTCTGATAAATGGAAATGAAAACACAACTTTTCAAAACCTATACATACAACAAAAGCAGTTCTAAGAGGCAAGTTTATGGCAATAAATACCTACATCTAAAAGGTGGAAAGTGCTCCAAAAAAAAAAAAAACTACTCTAACATTGCACCTCAAGGAACTAGAAAAATGAGAAAAAACAAAACCCCAAATTAGTAGAATAAAGGAAATAATAAAAATCGGAGCAGAAATAAGTGAAATAGAGACAAAAAAATCAACACAAAAGATCAACAAAACAAAGAGTTGGTTTTTTGAAAAGATAAAAATTGATGAACATCCTTTTTTTACGGCTGCATAGTATTCCATGGTGTATATGTGCCACATTTTCTTAATCCAGTCTGTCACTGATGGACATTTGGGTTGATTCCAAGTCTTTGCTATTGTGAATAGTGCCATAAAAAACATACGTGTGCATGTGTCTTTATAGCAGCATGATTTATAAACCTTTGGGTATATACCCAGTAATGGGATGGCTGGGTCATATGGTACTTCTAGTTCTAGATCCTTGAGGAATCGCCATACTGTTTTCCATAATGGTTGAACTAGTTTACAATCCCACCAACAGTGTAAAAGTGTTCCTGTTTCTCCACATCCTCTCCAGCACCTGTTGTTTCCTGACTTTTTAATGTATGGATGAGTTTGTGTCCTTTGTAGGGACATGGATGCAGCTGGAAACCATCATTCTCAGCAAACTATCGCAAGAACAGAAAACCAAACACCGCATGTTCTCACTCATAGGTGGGAACTGAACAATGAGATCACTTGGATTCGGGAAGGGGAACATCACACACCAGGGCCTATCATGGGGAGGGGGGAGGGGGGAGGGGGGAGGGATTGCATTGGGAGTTATACCTGATGTAAATAACGAGTTGATGGGTGCTGACAAGTTGATGGGTGCAGCACACCAACATGGCACAAGTATACATATGTAACAAACCTGCACGTTATGCACATGTACCCTAGAACTTAAAGTATAATAATAAAATAATAATAATAATAAAAGACTAAAATAAATAAATAAATAGAAAAAATATAAAAATTAAAAAAATTTGATGAACATAAAGCTAGAGTAACTACTATGGTTTGAATGTGTCCCCCATATTTCATGTGTTTGAAAATTAACCCCTAAATTCATATTTGATGGGCTATTGGGAGGTAATTAGGATTAGATGAGGTCATCAGGGTGGGGCCCCATAATAAGATTAGTGGCTCTATAAGAAGAGAAAGAGGAATGTAAGCTATCATGTTCTTGCCCTCTTGTCATGTGATACCCTCCACCATGTTATGATGCAACAAAAAAACTCTAATCAGATAGAGCTGCTTGATCTTGAACTTCTTGGCCTCCAGAAATGTCAGAAATAAATTTCTTTTGTAAATAAATTACCCAGCATGTGGTTTTCTGTTATAGCAACAAAAAATGTACTAACACACTATGAAAAAAAAAAAAGATACATGACTCAAATAAATAAAATCAGAGATAAAAAAGAAGACATTATAACTCATACCACAGAAACACAAAGGATCATAAGAGACTATTATGAATGACTTATATGTTAATGAATTGGAAAACCTAGAAGAAATGAATTAACTCCTGGACACACACAACCTACTAAGACTGAATCATGAAGAAATAGAAAACCCAATCAGACCAACAATGAGTAATAAGATTGAATCAGTAATAAAATGTCTCCCGTCAAAAAAAGCCTAGGACCTAATGGTTTCACTGCTGAATTTTACCAAACATTTAAAGAACTAACCAATTCTTCTCAAGCTATTCTCAAAAAATGGAAGGGGAGGGAATTCTTCCAAACTCATTCTTTGAGGCCAGAATTACCCTGACACCAAAATTAGAAAAAAATACAACAAAAAAGAAAACTATAGGCCAATATCCCTGAAGAACACAAATACAAAAATCCTCAACAAATTACTAGCAAACTGAATTCAACAGCATAGTGAAAAGATCCTTCACCATGATAAAGTGGGATTCATCCCAGAGATACAAGGATAGTTCAATATATACAAATCAAAAAACAAGTAAACAATCCCTTTTATGATAGCTACAAAAAATAAAATTTTTAAACTCTGAATAATTTTTTTTATTTCAATAGGTTTCTGGGGAACAGGTGGTGTTTCCTTACATGAACAAGTTATTTAGTGGTGATTTCTGAGATTTTGGTGCAACCATCATCCGAGTAGTATACACTGTACCCAATGTGTAGTCTTTTATTCCTCACCGAGCTCCAAGTACCCCAAAGTCCATTGTATCATTTTTGTGCCTTTGCATCCTCATAGCTTAGCTCCCACTTATCAGTGAGAACATATGATGCTTGAAAACCTCAGAAAAAGTTCAACCAAGGAGGTGAAAGATCTCCACAATGAAAACTATAAAACATTGGTGAAAGAAATTGAAAAGGACACAAAGAAATGAAAACATATCCTGTGTTCATGGACTGGAAAAATTAATATTGTTAAAATGCCCACACTGTCCAAAGCAATCTACAGATTGAACGCAATACCTATCAAGATACCAATGACATTCCCCACAGAAATAGAAAAAAAAAATCCTTATATTTGTATAGAATCACAGAAGACCCTGAATAGCCAGAGCAATTTTGAGGCAAAAGGATAAAGCTGAAGGCATCACCCTACATCACTTCAAAATATATTACAAAGTTGTAATAACCAAAACAGCATGGTATTGGCATAAAAACTGACACATAGACCAGTGGAGCAGAATAGACAATCGAGAAATAGATCTAAACATTTACGACTGATTTTCAATGAAGGTGCCAAGAAGACACATTGGGAAAGGACAGTCCCTTTAATAAATGGTGCTAGGAAAACGATATGAACATGCAGAAGAATGAAACTAGACCCCTATCTTTCACCACATACAAAAGTTAAACTCAAAATGGATTACAAACTTAAATGTAAGATCCCAAACTGTGAAACTGCTACAAGAAATCATAAGGGAAAAACTTCATGACATTGGTCTGGCCAAGAATTATTTATATAGGACCTCAAAAGCATAGGCAACAAAACAAAAAATAGACAAATGAAATTACATGACACTAAAAAGCTTCTGCACAGCAAAGGACACAATCAACAGAATGAAGAGACAACCTATAGAACGGGGGAAATTTTTGAAAGCTATGCATCAGGCAAGGGGTTAATATCCAGAGTATATGATAAATTCAGACAACTCAATAGCAAACAAACAAATTTAAAAATCCAAATAATCTGATTTTAAAATGGGCAAAAGAAGACGTACAAATAGCCAACACGTAGATGAAAAAGTACTCAGCATCACTAATCATCAGGAAAGTGAAAATCGAAATCACAATAAAGTACCACCTCACCTCAGCTAATGTGGCTATTACCAAAAAGACAAAAACAAAAAACAAATGCTAGCAACAACATAGAGAAGGCAGAACTCTTATACACTGTTGGTGGGAATGTAAATTAATACACCCATTATGAAGATGACAAACATTCTTCAAAAATTTGAAAATAGAACTACTATAGGCTCCAGCAATTTCACTAGTGGGTATATATTCAAAGGAAAGGAAATCAGTATGTTGAAAAGATATCTTTACTCCCATCTTAATTGGTGCACTATTCACACTAGCTAAGGTATGGAATCAACTTAAGTGTCCATCAAGGAATGAATGGATAAAATAATTTAGTATCTATACACAATGGATTGCTATTCAGCCATTAAAAAATGAAATCCTATCATTTGCAACGATGTGGATGAACCTAGTGAAAATGATGTTAAGCACAGGAGAAATACTGCATGCCGCTTCTAGTCAGCCATCTTGCTGATGTCACTCTCAGATTTCAGTGATCTTGACATTATATATATTTATATAAATTTACATATTTGTGTAAATATATAAAATATATAAATTTATATAAATATATATTATCAGTCACAAACAAATGTTGTATTTCATCAAGTGCTCATTCCAGATTCTTTACCTATTAAGTCAATTTTTTACATGAAGTTTCATTTTTGTCAAATTGAGCCCTCTGAAAAGGAATGACGTCTTTATGTATGTCATCTTCATTATGTTCTCTGAGGTCTACAGAATGAAACTAATTCCATTTTTACTAAATACATGTATTTATTTTTACTAAATAAAAACATGTATTTATGAATATATTTATTTATGAATACATAGGTTATTTACGAATACATATGTATTTATATATGAATACATAGGTTGAACAGTCTCTTCTTGGAATACTTTCCTCCAACACACTGGCCTCACTTCCTCTGACCCACAAGGGTGGGTCAGTCTTCCAGAGAAGTCAGAACACTTGGTTCTTGTTTGAATTCAGCTATGCACATGAGCTGTATAGCTTTGGGCATGTCATCTCTGTGGTGTTTTCTCAATTTCAAAAGTAGTTTGATGAGATTATTTTTAAAGGCTGATTTGTTCACTTTGAAATAATATTTAAAATCCAGGATTTTTAGTCTGATCAAATTTGTACCGAGATCTCATTATTGTAACAACAATGCAGAAGAAATTTCTGATGGAGAATGAGTGCAAACTGTTGCTCACGGGGAAATTTACCATGGGGATACTAAAGGGTTCTACTTTCCCTCTCCTGGCTCTTCTAAGTCTTCAGTCTCAGGTAGCCATACCTTTGCCAGGCTCCACTTCAGGAGCAGGGAGAAACAACTGTTAAGAAAGGAGACCTGAAGGAGTTCATTCTCTGAAACATTATTGAGCACTGTTCAACAGTACAGTGCAAGTCTTTTCAGGTTTGCTATCATATTTCACATGTATTCAAGGGTTATTTGGATATTAAGGCATATCTTCACAAAACCATGTGAGGTAGCTATTACTCCCTTTTCACTGATGGAGAAAATGAGGCTCAGGGAGATTAACTGATTTGCCCTAGTCCAGACAAGTGGCAGAAAAAAATTGAACTCTGTATCTGTCTCCCACTCCATTGTGCTTTCCACTACATGGTGGATTCCTGTAGCCCAGGGCAAATTCTCTTGGGTGTAATCAGTTTCCAGTGGACTCAGGTTTATTTGTTGAATTAACAAATGAAAATCAGTTGGATTTTAAAAACACTCTGTAGAACCCAGTGTTCAAGAAACTGACAATTTACTTCTTAACTCATCTAGGAAATCCTACGGCAAGCTAATTACTGTGTAATTAGACACACAGCTAGGTGAGAGAATGCCACAAAAAATATCACCTTGTTTACAGAGGCAGGAAAGATTTATTTTCTAAGATTTCCTAGGTAAGAGAAAGACCCCAGGAATACCTATTCCCTACATAACCATCTATTGGAAGGTCCTCCACTTCCCATTTCTTTTCCTCAGCAATTTTTGAAAAATTAACTTCCAAAAGAAACCTGTTCTTCCCACCAAGGTATTCATCCTTATGTCTCACTCTGATGTGTGCACGTGCGCGCACACAAGTTAGGCTATTACCTATGCCGCATCAATATGTAAAGCTGTGTATATGAATCGTAACACTGGGCATGACTCTGAATGAATAACTTGCTTTATTTAAAAAAAAAAAAACTGTTAAACAATTATAGAAAATCGGAAGGAATGAAAAACAACGCAATGGGTGTACTTCCTTTCTCTCCCAGTCCCAAACCAACCCATTTTTCCTTGGAATGTAAAAACTGGTCTGGAAAGAGGAATGGGGGTCCTGTGAACAGAACGGGGAGTCATTATCTTTTTCTTCTATACCAATAAACGATGACAAATGTGGACTGAGAGAAACTAAAACGTCAATAAAGCAATATCATAAATAGAAAAATAAATAACATTTATTTTGTACCACGCGGCTGTCAGTGTCCTGAGTCTCCGGGGCAGAGCGCCTTGGGGAGGGCTGGGCCCTCAGAGCAGCAGGAGGGCGCCCAGGGACAGCTCACCCTGGCCCAGCAGGCGGCCCCGCTCCCGGCCGCGGCCCTCGTCCCAGGCCTTGACGCGAACAGCCAGGCGGCGCACCTCGTCCTCCGAGAGGCCGTCGAAGCAGAAGTCCTGGTCAAAGGAGGCCTTGCGGCTGCGCCCCACCACAATGCTGCATTGCCGACGCGCGGTGTCCGGAGGGCGTAGGACGAGGCTGAGGCGGCAGCGGACGGCGCGGGGCCCCGGGGCGCCTCCTGCGAGGCCCTCAGCGCGGAGCAGCCGGAGACGGAGGCGCCCGGTTTCCGGACAGTACTCGGCGGCCAGGCGCAGGGCGTCGCCGGCGCGGCCCAGAGCCAGGGTGCCCTCGGCCTCCAGGCGCTCAGGAAGCGGGTCCCGGGACGAAGACGGGCTGGCGGAGGGGGCCCGGGCCGGGGACTGGGAGCCCGCGCGGCGCTCCTTGTCCTCGTTCCCGCTGGAGACGGAGCGGGCGCGGGCCAGGCGGCGACTCCTCCTGGCCCGCAGCGCGCGGCTCAGCAGCCCGTCGGGGGCGCGCAGAAGATGGCAGCCGCGGGGCCGCCGGACGAGCGCGTCCTGGGGCGGGCGGGGACGGCCGGGGACCGCGGGGGTGGCCGGGCCCGGAGCCCGCGGGCCGCACAGGGTCTCCAGGGGGGCGTCCGGGCCGCAGCCGCCGCCATAGGCGCGGGTCCGAGGCCGGGGCGCGGACGGGTCCCCGAGCAGGAGCGACTCCTTGCGACGCGTGTGCGGGCTCTCGAGCAGCACGCAGAAGCCGTAGGCGGTGAGCACACGGGGCAGGTGCGGCAGCGACAACGCGGCCTGCGAGCGCGGGTCCCAGTCCGTGCGGCCGGCGTCCTCGTCTGCCGCGCGGGGCCACAGGTCGCGTTCAGCGGCGCAGCGCCGGGGCAGGGCGGCGGCCCGGCTTGGAGACTCGAGCGCGCAGGGCGCCGGGAGCCGCGGCGGGATGCAGAATTCGGGGATGCGATTCGGCGTGAGCACTTTAGCAAAGGCGGGCTTCGGCGCGGAGCTGCCTGAGTTGGAGGAGCAGAGTTTCTCGAGGAGCCGCATCCTTGGAGGCTGAGGCTAGGAGTGGCGGGAAGAGATGCGCCTGCGGGAGAGAGAAGCTGCTGAGTTTGGGCGCCTGGGGCTGCTGGAGCCCCTTGACGCGGCTGGATTCCCTCCCCCGGACCCTGTAACCGTCCCGACGTGTTTAAGACCCTGGACCAGTTCCAGCCTTGCTTTCTGCACCCACAAATCAGCCCTGCTTCCGTTCTTTTGTACTAAATAAACGAATAAATAGAAATCAGACCTTTCTTCTTCAGTGTCTCTGGGACTGGTTGCAAGCTCAGTGCCAGTGGTCCCTAGCCCGCTGCTGGGGCGCCACTTTCAGTACTGCGGCCGGGAGAGTGGCGCTCCCCTTTTATACTGTAGGCTGAGTCCCGCCCAGCTGCCGCGGCCCAACCCAGAGGCGCTGCACATCCCGCCTTCCCGCCACCCTCTCCCACGACGCCGGGGGCTCTGCACTGGGCACTCAGGTCTGTGCGAAGCTGTCGCGGGAGCAGGCACTTTGTGGTCAGCTCTGGGACCCGCATTTGCAGTGAGTGCGTGGAGCCCCAGGCAAGGCCTGGGAAAGGTTGCAGGTGAAGAGAGGGCACCCTGTCGTCCTGCCAAGGAAAAATTGGCGGCTGAAAATGTTTTCGGCTTCTGGGAGAAGGTGAGGCTGGATGAGGAAACAGGAAGTTAATTTGGCTAGGAGATAAACCGTCACTCAACCTGCATGTCACCTGGACGTGACCTGCACGTCCTGGGAGCTTCTGTTATCCGGTCCCCATGCACTCAGAGTGTACAGACCAATGTGGTTTCCAAGTATTCATATACCTATTTACTGCCTGCCTCCCTCTGCTAGACTGTGGTCTTTTTGACAGCATTGGCCCTGGCTCAGTCCACGCCCTAAGTACTGGTGAAGTGGGTAAATTAATCTTTGAGAAAATTTCTGATCGCTTCTTGGTCTTTTGGCTAAGATCAAGTGGAGAAAGCTTCTGAATGGCTGCAGGCTCTGCCTGTCATCTTGATAGTCACAAAACATGGGGCTTCTGGCTCGTGCCATTTTTAAAGCTACCCCTTTTCTTTATGCTCTAGCATGGAGGTATCCAGTTAGAAAACATCTTCCCGAACTCTAGATTCTTTCTTTCCACCCCGACCTTCATTTTCTGAGATGAGAAGACTGAAATTCCAGAGGACCCTGAGGAAATTCCAGAAAGGTTAAAAAGAGCCAGTTAATGGCAGAAGCTGGAATTAGCAATTTCCTGTTTCTTTGGCTTTGCATGTGATGCTTCCTGTGATCTGAAATGCCCTTTCTCTGCTTTTTCGTTATATAGGAACTCCTGTTTATTTTCTGTAATTCAGCCCATGCATCGTCCCTTTCAGGTGCCTTCACCCAACTCCGCTGCTCCAGTTCCTCAGCCCCTCCTTATTTCCTTCCTACTTCTAGGGGCCACCATTGTTGCAGTTCGCAACTTTGGAATTTTCGGTTTACAGTTTTGTCTCCTCTAATAGACTTGTGGGTTTTCAGTGGGTAAGGACTGGGGCAGCTCAACCAGAGGGGGATTTCAAGAGTCTATTAGGAATATATGAAAAATAAAATAAAAGTCCTAAGATCAAGAACTGGGACTGCCTCCATCCCAGTTGCCTTATCCAGGGTACAAGCCTGGCTGTCTTATTCATCTCTACATAATTCTAGCACCCAGGATACAATGCCAGGCAAATAGTAAGTGCTTAGCAAATATTTGATGAATTGTATTGAACTGATACTGATCTGCAGGTCTTATGACTGTCAGGTGCTTTCAACCACATATCTCTCTACGTAATTTGATTTATTTCTCACAGAAAACCAATAAGGAAGACGTTGTTTCTGTTGCCCAGATGAGAAACTGAGGGACTTGCCTAGGGTCATTCAAGCTATGATCATAGCCTACATAGCCTAAGTCCTAGCTTTTTGGCTAATTTCTTCTAATTCATTCCTTCTTTCCTTTCTTCCTTTCTTCTTTTCTTACACCCTTACTCCATCTATTCACTCAATTCAATATAATTCACTGAGTCTACTGTGTGTCAGACACTGTGTGATTTGTATTGCCCTTTACACCCAGAATGTTAATTCTTACAGCATCTCAGTCTACTGTTAAGTAGTATTTTCCACTATACTTGCTTTGGAATAAGCCCCATTATTTTCAAATCCTTAAAGGTAAGAAGAGTGTTTCTCTGGGCTAATAATACTTTACTTCTTAATTGACCCACAGGTTCTGCATCCCCCAATTCAGCCAACCACGGATGGGAAATATTGGGAAAAAATAATAATACAAAAGAAATGAAGCAGTAAAATAACTATTCACATAGCATTTACATTGTAGTAGGTGTTATAAGTAATCTAGCGATAACTTAAAGCATATGAGAGGATATTCATAGGTTATATGCAAATACTATGCCATTTTATATAAGGAACTTGAACATCCAAGGATTTTGGTATCTTGAGGGTCCTTGGAACCAATCCCCCTCACACACCGAGGGACATCTGTATGCTTTTTTGATGGGGCAAGTATCCGTCAATATGCAGCCACTGGAGCCAGGGAGCAGCAGCCATTCCTGCTAAAGCCAAATTTTCAGGCAGAAACATCCCAAGGGGTCTCTGACAGGATCATTTCCCTGTGATTCATCAGGCCGATGTGCAGATTCCTGGGCAAAGGTTCTTCTCTAAAGCGGAGCACACCTGCATTATGTCCGTCCTGCAGTAGATGCAGCTCGTTTCAAATTAAACCTCAGTGAAAATGGCCTTGGTGACAATGAACACTCAGACATCATATCGGTGGGTGAAAGCCGCTGAAAGCAGGACATGGGATTTGAGTGATTGCACTCCCAGCGCTTGCGTTGTTTACAGAGCAACGCAAGCATGGCTATTAACACAGTCCCTATCTAGAGGGTTTTCCAAAACTGTTATCTTCCCATGAATCAATATTCTATAGAAGAGAAAGTAAGATACAGGGAAATTAAATTACTTACCCAGGGATACTCTTCAGATGGTCACTTATTCAACCACAGCTACAGGCTGGAACCACAGTTGGAGGCCTGGCTTCCTTCCATAGTCTTAAATCTCCTTAAATCACATTGGGAGAAAATAAAAAAACAGCTCCTCAGTGGAAACTTCGATCACTCCAGTTGTTTCATTGTTTTGTACCTCATTACCACATAAAGGCCACTATCATCTTGTATTCAAACCTTGAAATTGTTATCTTAAAGAAATGATCTCTTTAATAACATTAATGTTTACCAACTATGTAGTAGGCGGAAGTCATGTTAATTGCTTCATATACTTTATCTTATCTAATCAACCCTATAAAGAAGGTAGAGCTGCAGAAACAGGCTCACAAAGGGAAAAGAACAATAACAAAACTTGTCATAAGTCTCACATATAGTAAAAGCAGGGCTGGAACTCAAATCCAGGCCCATCTGGCTCATGGTCCTGTGTGCTTATAACCCCTTCCCTACACAGTGCCTCTCTCAAAGCCATTTCTCCTGAACCCAGCTCCTCTCTAGGTAGCTAGATAACAGAGAAAGAGAACCTTTTTCCAAGGCCAACTTGAGTTGAAACTTACACACCTTATTGATTATACCAGTACCTAATATATTAAAGCATGACATTGTCATAAGCAGGAAAGCACACGTTATGCACAGTAGTGCTGTGCCATTGGTAGACAGAATCCTTTTCCCCCCAGGAAGTATAGTCATTCTCTTTATTCATGTTATAAATGCTTCCAAAAAACGGATTGGGGTTGTTTACATAACAAGGACCCAGGGAATTTATCAGCTGCTGGAAACTGATATGATGAAAATGGAAAAGACATGCAATTAACTGAATGAAGAATCTTGAATGAGGTCACAAACTGACACCTGTCAACACCTATATCCTGAGGGTGGGAAGGGTAAGGTGTAAAGGCAGTTAAAGAGGCTCTAGTGGGAAGGCTTGGGATGTTGACAAGTCCTAAAGGAGCCTCATGGTCCACTAGCCTTGGAAGGCCATGGAAGAACCAGTCTGAATGTCTAGCAGTGTGAGAATGGCCGTGTCCCTTTACAGAACAAAAATACAGTCATGGGAAATCATTATCTAGAAGACTGTAGCAACAGTCTGCATTCTGTTTATGAGATTCACTTATGTTCCATGTATAGCGCTAGTTCATTAGCTTTCACTGACTTACATCATTTAACGTACTCTGTTTTCTTGCTGTATTCCATCATTTAACGTACTCTGTTTTCTTGCTGACGGATATTTTGATTGTTTCTGATTCTTCCAGTGCTGGTATGATTATCTGTGTACCTGTCTTCTTAATTACCTATGCAAAAGTTCTCTAGAATACATCTCTAGGAACATAATAGCTGGTAATAGGATATTTGCATCTTCAATTTTAATGCAAAATCAGTTTCCTCGTCATCAATATATAAGATTTCCTATGGCTTCACATCCTCAACTATACTATTATTATCAGAGAGTTATGGATTGAATGTTTATGTCTCCCCCACCAGATTCATATGCTGAAATCCTAACCCGCAATGTGATAGTATTAAGAGATGGGTGAGGTGATTAGGTTGTGGGTAGAGCCCTGGTGAATGGGATTAGAGCCTTTATAAAAGGGTCCTCAGAGAGCCCTCACCTTTCCACCATGGGAGGACACAGCTAGAGGGGAGCCCTCACCAGACACTGAATCTGCCAGTGCCTTGATCTTGAACTTTCTATCCCCATAACTGTGAGAAATAGATGTTTATTGTTTAAACCGTCCATCTGAGTAGCTGGGACCACAGATACGTGCCACCAGGCCTGGCTAATTTTTGTATTTTTTGTAGAGTCAGGGTTTCACCATGTTGCCCAGACTGGTCTCGTACACCTGAGCTCAAGCAATCCACCCACCTTGGCCTCCCAAAGTGCTGGGATTAGAGGTGTGAGCCACTGTGCCCAGCCCAGATTTTTATTAAATATCACTACTATGGTGAGTGTTTGGGTTGAACTGTGCCCCCACCTATTCATATGTTGAAGACCTAACCCAAGGACCTCAGGATGTGACCATATTTGGAGATCAGGTCTTTAAAGAGGTAATTACGATTAAATGAAATCATTAGGGTGGGCCATATGACTGTCTGTGTCTTGCTTTTTGTATTTTTATGAAGTCTTTGGAGAAACAGAAGTTTTTAATTTTAATGTAATCAGATGTCTCCATCTTTTCCTTTGTAATTTTGGTTAAAAAATAATATTCTCCCCCGAAATAATAAAGATTTTTTTTCTGTGAAGTAGTAAAGATATTTTTTTCTATACAGACAGTTCCTAATTTATGATGGTCCTGCTCAACGATCCTTTGATTTTATGATGGTACAGAAGTAATATGCATCCAATGGAAACCATAATTCAAGTACCCATATGACCATTCTGTTTTTCACTTTCAGTATGATATTCAATAAATTACATGAAATATTCAACACTTTCTTACAAAATAGGCTTTGTGTTAGATGACTTTGCCCAACTGCAGGCTAATGTAAATGTTCGAGCATGTTTAAGGTAGGCTAGGCTGGGCTATGATGTTTGGGAGGTTAGGTTACTAAATGCATTTTGGACTTACAATATTTTCAACTTAGGATGGCTTTATTGGGATGTAACCCTATCATAAATTGAGGAGCACTGGTATTTTCTTCTGATATTTTGAAAGTTTTGCTCTTTTTACATTTAGATCTTTAAACCACTAACGGAGAGAATTTTCAGTGTTCTCTAAAGATGAAAAGGGCTTCTGTAAGAGGTGGTATGCTCATTTTGGGAGGTGTTCAAGTAGTCTGAACAATCATGAGGTAGAGATGTTATTAAAAAAAATTCAAGAAACGTGTGGATGTATAAACTCTAGTCTATTTGGTGGTGGATTTGAGTACAATAGATGGTGTTGCTAGAAAACCGTCCAATATTTCAAATATTAATCAGAATACTTAATTTTCCTATCTTGGCTACACTTGGCTTGCTGATTCATATTTAAAAGGCAGAACTAACTCTAAGTCATTTAAGTTTATGTACATATCAACAATGTTGTAAATTGACAAACCGCCACCTGTTGGTAATTGGGAAGAATTAAGCAAACTATAGCTTCCTGCCTTGCAACGTGACTGTTCTCACTTCATGGTGGAGTTTAGGGACTAAATGTTGCTCTTCTTGATTTTTCATATTTGTCACAGAAAACACAGACTGCCTAGGTTCCTGTTCCAGCTCCACCCCTATCTACTTATGTGAGCCTCATCAAGTTCCTTAGTCTTGGGTTTTTTGTTTGTTTGTTTTTGAGATAGAGTCTCCCTTTTGTCACCCAGGCTGGAGTGCAGTGGCATGATCTCTTCTCACTGCAACCTCCACCTCCCAGGCTTAAGCGATTCTTCTGCCTGCCTCAGCCTCCTAAGTAGCCAGGATTACAGGCGCCCGCCACCACTCCCGGCTAATGTTTTTTGTATTTTTAGTAGAGACAGGGTTTTACCATGTTGACCAGGCTGGTCTCAAACTCCTGACCTCAAGTGATCTGCCCATCTTGGCCTCCCAAAGTACTGAGATTACAGGCATGAGCCACCGTATCTGGCCAGTTCCTTGGTTTTTTAAGCCTAGGTTTTTCATCTATATAATGAGTTTAATAATTATAACTATATCCTAGGCTTATGGGCATTAGTAACCTATTTAAAGCCATTGTGATACAGTGTCTAGGATCTGCTTAGTAAACCTTATCTATTTTTTAGTAGTAGGAACAAAGGAAATAGTGTGTCACAACTATACTCATTATTATATCAGATTAAATTTTTAGGACACAGATGAGAACTTGAAAAAGAACTGAGGAAAGAAAGACAACTAACCTTAACGGGCACCTATTCTAAGCCAAGCCTTTTACAAACAAGTAAGTTTTACTAAAGTAAGTTTTACTAAAGTTACTTGGCCCTATAACCACAGAGCTGGGATATAACACCATTATCTTACACAAAAGTCTACACTGTTCATTATCTTAACACTGCATTTCAGATGTTACCTGCAGTTCAAACAAGTCGCCAGGCCCATTCCTCAAAGCTCATTCTGCTTACCTCACTATTTTTGAGACGTCAGTATAGAACATCCTCAGAGTGGCTTCCTGACTTTGTGCAACTCTTCGCCAGGCCAGCAAGGGAGTTCAGAGTTGGGAAAAGCACACTGTCCTGCATCTCAGGATGCTTAGGGGCCCCGTCCTGGCCCCAGCATTTACCAGCTTGGCCTGGTAAGCCACTTAACCTTCCCACATCTTGGTTTCCTCCACATGAAACAAGACACTGAATAGTACTCCGCAATCTTCAAATTTCTTTCTAGAGGTTCTTTCTCTGCACGGAGGCCTTTAATGAAATCCCTCCTGGACCCCTGCCTATGAGGATTTCCCAGTTCCCTGAACCCTGTGAGCTTTTCTTTCAGTTTCACTAATTTCCCTGAGCTAGAAACAGACTTCTCAGCAACTAAATATTGTTCTTGGTACGCAACTATTAGAGCTACAATAATGCTTGTCACAAAGAGGATCTAAAGAAACAGTCTGCCTAAGCAGTTAGAAGTTGGCTACTTTGGGAATAGCACGTGGGTCAATTTCTGAACTAGAAGACAGAACACCAAGTCTCTTTCTGGTTTCACTAGTTAAAGGTTTTGTGATAATCGCTGTATTCATTTCCTAGCGCTGCCGCAGCAGAATACCACAAACCAAGCAGCTTCCAATAACCGATCTTTATGGTCTCATGACTGTGGAGCCAGGAGTCCAAAATGAAGGTGTCGGCAGGGCCATGCCCACCTTGAAACCTGTAGGGGAGCATCCTTCCTCGCCTCTTTCTAGCTTCCGGTGGTGGTTTGCTAGCAATCCTTGGCGTTTCCTGGTTCACAGCTGCAGGATTTTGAATTCTGCCTCTGTCGTCACATGATGTTCTCCCCTCTTGTATCTGTATCTCTAGATCTCTTCTTTTAAGGACATGAGTTATATTGGATTAAAGGCCCACCCTACTTCAGTATGACCTCATCTTAACTAATAACCTCTGCAAAGACCCTGTTTCCAAATAATATCACATGTTGTGGCACTGAGGATTATGTCTTCAACATGTCTTTTGGGGAGACACAATTCAACTCATAACAGTGGCTCAATCACATCTTCTCTGATGCATCTTTCCACAATGGCTTCCCCACCCAACTTAGTATAGGGTGGACAGAGACAACTGCAGGACCTGAACCAGGGAAAAAGATAGGAGCCCTCATAAAAATGGAACCATCTGTCCCCAGCACAGGAACCAGAGGGCACTTCTCTACCTCTGCTTCTGAACTAGAGAGTATTACCATTGTTTCCTTCTTTGAGGAAATAGAAAAGTAGCCAGCTCAGCAGGGGCTGTCACCTTCCTGAGGTTGCTCCACACTGGCTGACAGCCAACAGCTGCTGCTTAAGAAATAAAATCCCCTCATCATAAATAAGGAAAGTACTGAATAAGGCTGGAATTTCCAGAGAGGAAATAGGTTGTACTCACTTTCCTGCTTCGTAATAAAGAGGAGACGTGTGGCTTCATGGAGAGGCTGTGGACCAAGTGTGTCAGTACCGAGAGCAGTAGTGAGGGTCACAGGCTGGCACAGCATGAAGGGTACCACAAGAAATGCCCACCTATGAGACCACTGAGGCCAGGCAATGCCTATCCACCTCCCCACCCACTTCTTCTCAGATCATAGGCCTGGGATCTTGGTACAGTCCAAATGGTAGGGAAAGCGCATGGAGAGTAACAAATACAGAACACTTCTTGTTGACTTCTTCAGGTGAGAGCTCCAGGCCAGATTTGATTTAAATTAGAAAGAAAATGTTTCATTACTAGCAACACCAGTATTATGGAGAAATCTGTAAAACTATTGAACTTAGAACTATTATTTAACTTGCACTGTCTCTGTAAGACATATCCTGCGCTTAAACTCTGGTCAGACCAGTAAAGTTTATTTTAGTGCCTGTCACAGATTGGATTCCCTGGGAAGCAGACGCTGAGTTGGAGATGTGCATGTCAGAATGTTATTGCAGGAGCATGCTCTTGGGAATACATATGTAGGGGAGTGAAGAGAAGAAAGCAGGATGAAGCAGAGGGAAAAGAGGAGCTGCAATCCAGTGCCCAAAGAGCTCTAGAACTGGGATCACTCTGAAGAAATGTCCCAAACTGGAAGAAGAGGGGCAAGTAATTATAGTCCCCTATTGGTAATCACTGGATGAGAGCTTCCCTGGGGAAGGAGGCATGACTTTGTTCATGGTGGGTCCCTTAAGCTAAGCAGATTCATCACAATGATGCTGTCACTCTGGAGTTCACACATCAAGAGATGGGCAGACACTTCAGGAGGGGTTTAATGCATCCAGTATACACCGTGGTCGCTCAGCACATTCTGGTACCCCGTGCTCCATTAGCAGAAATTGCTAATTCTGAAGGTGTCCCCATTTAATGTAATCCACCTCTCCCTCATTTAATCACAAATACAGTCATGCCCTTCCCAGCAGGAGGCAACGGAATATCACGTTGTGGGCTGTCCTTCAGGTACGTTCAGGTGATATCCATTCCTCTTCTAGGTGCAGGTTCTCAAGGTCTAGTATCCTGTGGGCAATGGGAGAGCGGGTAAATGAATTGAGACACACTCATATGGTAGATCATCAAAATCGAAGTTGTAGAAGATAATCATTATAAGAGAAAAAGTTTCTGGGATGTTGTTAAGGGGAA